CAAATGCTACGGAACTGTATTGAGAAGTGTTTCCACGAATATTTTAGGGTTCAGTCATCACCATTTCAACACTTCCCACCCCACTAATATCAGTGCAGTCTTTCAAGAAGAGAAAGGTGGCACTTAGAACAGAACATTCCATAGTGCTTTCATTCAGTCACATGCTAATTTCTTCTTTGAGATGCTGGATAGAAAAAAAAAACTAAAATGAAATACACGCCATTGTGTAGGGGTAACGGCGGCTTCGAAATCACAGCGCGAGACCTCGAGCAAGAGTTGGATCTGTTTCAAGTCGTTTTTGATTCAAGTTCTTCCTTGTTGACCGTGTGCTCACTAGCTGGTGTCAAGGTGCCGTGAGTAAGGCACTCAACTCCGAGCTCCTCCGGCAAGCAGTTCCACGAGGGCGTCGCTCTCTACGCGTGTGCAAGGAGACGGTTTTTAAAAAGAGCGCGTTCACTCACTGCAATAAAGATTTTCTTTTACTAATTAAATAAATAAATAAATATGTTCGCCATGGGAGGATCCTTCTGAGTGCGTTTTTATTTTGTTTGTTTTTTTTAAATTTCTGTAACAGATTTGTGGTTTCGCCTTTGCAAATCACACTCCACCCAATATGTAGGTCCAAAGGGGAGTTTGAAATGCAAAAGCCCAAATGCTACAGTCGTACCATTTCCGCTTCCTCTATCTCAGCCGCTGCCTGCAGAGACACCAGACAGAGAGGGAACCAGACGTGTTTGAACATCATTTGTGGCGTTGTCCGGTCTCATTCGCTCTGCTCAAAAGTAAATCCGTATTTCGACTCGAGACAAAACGCATCACGTTTGACTTGAAAATAATACTGATGTAATAAATAGTGATCACAGTTCTGATCATTTTCAATGTGCAACAGTACTGAGGTCGAGGTGGGGGGTCTGTCAGAGTGCCGAGGGATGGTCTTCTATTGCTCAAGGAAACTTTATCACCAGGGTTGAGACATTTTCGGAAGGATTTTGATTTCGGTAAAACGACAACCTGGGGACCCGATAACACGTTACATGACACTGTTTTTGGCTTTGAGGGAGGTCATTTTTAGGGCAGTGGTCTCCGTGGTCCTCCACCCTTTTCAGCTCGTCTGACCCGCGGCAGTGCATCCGGCTCCTTTCCCGTTCAAGCCACCGTGAGACTGGTTGATGGACGGTGAGGACTGAGTCTTACGGAGGTGGCAATCGCGGCCAACGAGGACGCTCTCCATCATCCGACCCGCCAACACGCTGGCCTCGATCTTCTCCAGATCGTCTGTCTCAGTGCGGATTTTGGCCCCAAGTAGGCTGATGTAGGTCTCATATCGAGTCTTCTGCTCAGAATGGAAGGAGAGTAGGGAGAGGGTTTGATACAGGGAGAGATGTCAGAAATAACTGAAGTGAAAGAAATGGAACCAAAAGAAAAGGAGCAGAATGGCCTTTTCTAAAACAGTACTCACCATAATGACAGTGACCCCCTTGAAAACTATCTTACTGCTTTTGTTCTTAGGCCAAAGCCATGACTAATATGAAAATATCAGTTTTCTGAAATGTTGAAAAAAAGAATTGAGACATATTTATCTGCCCGTACTGCCCATATCTACCTGGGAGTATGTTTGTATTGGCTCTCTGCTAGGGTGGTCCACATTTTCATGGCAAAAAAAAAAGTTTGTCGGATTCGTCGGGCCGGGTCGGAATTCTTGTCGATACTATGGTACAAGGTTCTGTGCAAAATTTCATTCCGATCTGATGATATTTTCCCGTCCCGCAAAGCGGCCAAAGTTTCCACCATAACAACTGGTCTCAATAGGGTGAACATGTGTATTTTAACCGTGTATTTTGCCATGCGTGACACTGGCTGGGCTGAATGTTGCCCGAACGATCACCTCCTGACTAACTAACCATTCCATCGCTGCTCTCAGCAGCCGGAGACAAACTCAAACGCACGCCTAACACACAACGGTCACCTACTGGCGAGCTAATATCTTTCAATTGAAGTCGAGAATCGCCGGAATTCTTACTGGACGCTGAGCTGAGGACGCT